TTTAAAAATCTAAGAATTCATGATATATATTATATCAATTTATTTTTTAAAAAAGAAAAAACAATCATGTTTTAAAATTTTATTCTAAACTTCAAACATAGAGTAAAATAAATTATATTTATCAATAAATAAAATTATATATAAAAATATTAATTGGATGAGAAATTTCATTAAAAAAAAATTTAAAGAATGAAATTTAAATAATATAAGTAATATAAGCTAAAACAAATGTTAATTTTAAAAAATAAAAAGATAATATATATATATATATATAATCGTCGGTTGTATAGAAAAAAGTGATGATTAATTTTTAAAAATTCTAACACTTAGTTAAATTAAAAAAAAAAGAACATAAATTGATGAAAAAAAGCAAAGGAAAAAAAACCAAAGAAAAAAAAAGACATTTAGTGCATGAGCTAGGGATTAAAATTTTAATTTAAAATTTTAGGGATCAAAATGAAATAATTTGAAAATTACAAAAAATACCTAAGAGTGAATAATACATTATGAAGGTAACACCCATTATATATATATATATATATATATATATATATATATATATATATATATATATATATATATATATATATATATATATATATAAAGAACATAAAATGATCAAAAAAAGCAAAGGAAAAAAAACCAAAGAAAAAAGAAAAGAAAAGGCATATAGTGCATCAATTGGGTATTAAAATTTGAAGGACCAAAATAAAATTACAAAAAAAGAAAAACATGAGTGAACGAGTACATCGTGAGGGGGTGAACGAGTGTTATCACCATTCAAAAACCCCATCTCTTTTAGTTTATCGGTAATATCCAAGTAAAGCGAGAAAAATCATCAATAAAGAACATAACGATAACCATTAATTGAAGCGAGTAGGGGAAGGACCTCAAATATCGGAATGAATAAGTGTAAAAAAGTATCCGAGATAGAAGTATTGATATTAAAAGACATAACTGATTGGTTACCAAGTTGACAATCAAGACAACGAAAAGACTCAAATTTAATAGATCCTAACAAGCCACGAGAAGCTAAAGACCGAAGTTTACTAGCGAAAGCATGGCTAAGGTGAAGATGCCATTGATAGATGGAGGAGTGTACGGTAGCTGCAGATACAAGTCTTTGAGGAAAATGTAGGAGCAAAGCTCAAATAATCATCCTACCCTACGATCCGTCTCGAGAATCTAGCCGTGGGTGGATCCCGAACTCGACAACTAAATGAAAAAAATAAAATATTTAATTCTTGTTCACATAATTGGCCAAAATAGATAAGGTTTAAAGTTAAATTAGGAACATAATAAGTATTTAGAAGGGTAAGATTGGAGGTAGAAGCATGGTCGGTATGAGAGATGTACATTTAGGTACCATTAGCAGTATGTATAGGTAGTAAAAAGGTGATCGATTGTTTTAAATAAAAGATATCGAATTTGAGGTCATGTGATTGGAACATGCGAGTTAAAGAGCCAAGAAGAATTACTTGGGATAACATACATAGTAGGAGAAGAACTAGAAGAGATAACATATTTAAGAAGAGCCTTAAGAGCACTTAAAGTGATAGCGAGTAGAACCCTCGGTGGCAACGAGTGAAGAGCCGGACTTTGAAAGAGCCTAAGATTTAGAAAAACCATTTTTTGGTCACGGAGGTCGAGTAGGACAATGTTCCGGGATGTGTTCAAAACCATGATAATATCTACATTCGATAATAGAAAAGTTAGCAAAAACATGACCAATTTGATGATAATGCTTATAGAATAGAGTTCTAGATTTCGATAAGAAGAGCTGGAATGAGTGGCGAAAGAACAACCGTAGATGGAGGAGTTTTGTCTAGATTAAGACGTGTTTTTTCAAAAATAATCTCGTGAATGACGGCATCCAAGATAGGCGGATGATGGTGATGCAACAAAGAGGCTCTAACAACCTCATATTCTAGTTGAAGTGCCACAAAAACTTGAATGAGATGCAAATGATTTTCATTGATTTTGGCTTGAGATCATTGATTCCAAATAGGTTGAACTCGAGCTAGAAAGTCATTCACGGATTGACCAGAGCTCTTGTTTGATATTATGGATGGTAGTCCACAATCGATAATAGTGGGCAAGACTTGTAGTGGTGTGTCGATTAGTTAAAAAATCCTTAATTTCTTTGACGGTGTCATAATCGACAAAGCTTGGATGTGAATGGTTGGAGCCGAGGTATTGCGAAACCAAGTGATAATTTAGTGATTCTTATTGTCCAAATCGTCAAGTCGATTAACAAATTTGGCGACGAGACTCATCTTTTTTGGAATTGGTTTAGCTATGTCATTAGTTACAATGCAAATAGTTTATGCCCAATTAAAAAACTTTTTATACCTTGGACCCATATATCATAGTTTGTGCCGTTTAAAGTAGTGGCAATGGGCTTGAGAACCTCGGATTTATTCATGTTAAAAAGATATAAAACAATAGAATTCGGAAGAAAGAAAAAAGAAGAAGGATCATAAAGAAGAAAACCGAGCTAGGCAAGAGTATAAGAATTAGAATATGAAAGAGAGCACGCAAGAACAAAGGCGAGAATATTATCAAGAAATGAGACGGAGGCTAGGGCTCGATACCATATGATAAATTGAAAAGCTTGTATTTTTCTTGTTTTGTGTACCATACTAACCCTAGATATACATAGAGAATAATGAGTCTAAAGAAAAGGAAATAAGAGCTATATAAAAAAAGAAAAGGCTGTACATAAAATTCCTTGATCATTAGCCTATTTTATAGCCTATCCTATAATGTAGTCGCCAATAATATTAACACTCTCGTTAATTTTTGATTTAACAAATCTTCCTTGGATATATATAGCATTTTCTACATGCTATCCAATAATACCTTTTAACCAGTAGAAGCTCTCTAAACGAGCAGTCCTGCTGGTGCCACAATTGAAAATCCCATGCTCAAATCCAGTCTAATGGGAAATGGCATCCAAACTTGAAACCTCAGAAGATTGCAGATGAGGAGTCTTTTGAAAATCTCTACCTGATTCTTGTTATGCAAGTTTGTTTCTGCTTTTCATTCATAACATCAATCAAATCATGTCAAGTGTGTATCAATATTTTTGTAGTGCGTCGGTGGCATTGCCATTGCTTATATTAGCTTTACAAAACAAAGCCATTAAATAATTGCGGCCAACTTTAGGTGACCCAAGGGAAGGAGTATCATGGAAAAGGACACCTACCCGTGAGGGGACCAATTTGTAAGCAGCATCTCTATCTATCTATCTAATTAATTAATTACCTTGACAAAATACATATATCTAATTAATTAATTACTTCAATGGCTACCTTCCTTTCTCAAATTACAGCTAGAGTTTGTATCTTTGACCCAGTAATTTGGGGATGAAACTGAAACAATTAAGCAAATGAGGAGGGAAAGAAAAGGAGAAAAGGTAAAACATGTTTTAATGCGCATTAACAGCATCAATCGCTATCTCTTTTAACATCAAGGAGTTCAAAAAAATAAAATAAAATAAAAATAAAGAAGATATTATATTAATTACAAGATGTAACTTGTCTTGTGTCATATTCATTGAAGTTTTGAAACTGATGGCAGTAGTTAGAAATCTTGGGAAGTGTTTTGCTATAATTATTAATACACATCATCATAATTTCTATCAACCTTAATCACCATGAATTTGGCTAAAAAAAGTTTAATTATTTCTGAATTTTAAATTATTTTAAATTGAATTTTTTGATTTTGAAAATTTTTTTTTACTTTTAATTTTTTAAAATTTAATTCATCTAATAATTTTCAGCTATTATATTTTCTTTTAAAAAATTCAATTCTGTGTATTTTAAACTATTTTTTGCATACAAGTGGAGACAAATAAATTCAATCTATTTTGTTAAAAATTTTCAAAAAGTTTTAAAATAAAAAACTATATTTGTTTATTTTTTGAAGATTAAAAATATAAAAATAAAAAATAACTTTAAAATAATCTTAAAATTTTAAAAGTCTTACACAAATTTTATTGAATAATTTATATTATGAAACTATTTATATATTATTATTTTTTCAGACAAATGACATAACAATTGAGAGAAGAGCTAAATATAAAAAAAATTTAAAATTTAAAATTTTTGAGAACTTATAAAAAAATTTAAAAATTTAATCTCAAATTAATTTAAATTGAGGGATGATTAAATTTTTTTAATCATATGAATATTTATTTGAGCCATAGCGAACGACGCTTGTGCACAAAGAACAGCTAAATAGGTTTTTCAACTCTACCAAAAAGCCACTTGTCCATGTAATGTGTCTGTCATGTAATTACACAAAAATAACATGTCTATTTTGGGCCGAATAAATTTAGCTTTTGAATGTGAATATACAAGGGAAAAGGTTAAAACTTCTAAAACTCGTGGCTTTGGTTTTGCCTAATGGAATGGTGCGATTCCCGTTTTTTAGAAACCGATAAAGCAAAAAACAAAAGCCGAAGCAGTGATTTTTACATTACAGACTCAGAGCCAGAGGGCAAGCAAAGCACAACATTCAAAAAAATTCAACTTTTTAGAGGGATCAAAAAATTCTCTATTTGTCTCTTTAACCTCGCCTCTACTACTGCTTTTATGTACACTCTCTCTTTGACTCGCAATTCTCATTCCTTTTCTTCTAGTACTACTTCTTCAAGCACCCTTTTCTTCCAAAGTCCTATACTGTTTCATTTTAGGAATACTGCTTGATTAAGTTTTTGTTTCTGGTCTTTTTAAGATTAACCCACTTTTTGTTTCTTGTCAAGATTTCAACTTTGGTTTATTTCTAGTCATTTCAGAAACATCATCATTACCTCTTATTATTACTGTCTTCTTTCTTCCTTTTTTCCCGCCCGTTATTCTTTTCTTTTATCATTAATGGTTCTTTATTGTTTTGTTCGAAAAACTGGTGCTTTATTGATTTTTGTTTTTATGGTTAATTATGGTGTTAACCAAGAATTAAAGAGAGATTTTTAAGTGTGGTGGGGGGGGGGGGTTATGGGTGGTGGTGGTGATGGTGGTAGCGGTGGTAGAGTTCAAGTGATTGATAGTAGAGGGTGTTCAAGGTTGTTTGTGGGGATATCAGCTTCAGTGTCTTCTTTTAGAGGGTTGCAATCTTTTGAGCCAATGTCTCCTACTGCTTCCTCTGTTGGGTCTGGGCCTGTCGCGGTTAGATCACATGGTCCCTTTACTGGTCTTGTTATTTGTGTTACTGGTCTATCTAAAGGTACCATTTACTTTGTGGCGCTGAGTAATGTTTTCGTTTGATTTCAATTTTTAAGTTACTGAATTGTTGATTTATTTAGCAGGAAAAAGATAAAGAAGGCATGACAGATTCTGATTTTGTGTTTGAAATTGGTTGTTTTATGTTTATTATATTTTGTAGATTTTTGTTGCTCATGTGTGCTTGTACTTCTCTTATTACTAAATGAGTATTTGTGTTTGTCTTATAAAAGCAATGTTTTTTTTAGTTGTATATGAAGTCATGAACAATGACTATACAATTGCAATTATCTGTATGGTTTTCATGATTACCTATTTTTTTCTTTGAATGGTAAGGTTGAAGGTACATATTTGAGTTATCTGTTTTATGTAATTTTATCTTAAAAAAGAGAGAGTATATGTATATATACTGCTAATTATGGTAGAATTATGGCTCATCTTGAATATAGTTAGGAGAACTCCGTGATCAGAGGTGACTTTACTGTGATGTGTTGTTTCATCTTTTTATTCTCTCTTCTACTAATTATTTGATATGTTAATTTTTAATTCTTTTTTAACAGAGAAAGTAAATTCATTTCTCGTTTAATTAGCTAAACAAGTAGGTGTTCAGGTTTGGAATTCTTCTTACGCAGAAGCAAGGAAACAAGTCATGGAAGCAGCAGAGAGATTAGGTGGTCAATACAGCCCTACTTTGCATCCCCAGTGTACTCATTTGGTGGTTCAGATATCCTTTACATTTTTATGGCAGATTTTATCTTTTTTTGACATGACATGGCAGTTTGGTGGAGACACTTTGTTGTAAAATGGGTTTGCGCATAGGATATTCATGAGAGAGAAATTTTGCCATCATCTTAATTCGTTGGTTGGGTTGACAGTATTATTAGGTGCTCTTCATTGTCTTTTAGTTCCAGAACACATTAAATGTCTTATTTCTATAGATGCCATGATTCTGTGGAACCTTAACATTGGTTACAGCTTTTGTGGACGTAAATTCGAGCATGCTTTGAAGCATGGACCAAAAAATGGTCTCGTTGTTGTAACGCTTGGATGGTTTGTGGACAGTGTCAGGAGGAATGGTAAGAATTGACTAATTCTGGTTTCATACTGATCAGTTATATGCATTTAGTTGCTTATCAAAGGTTCTCCTTACTAAGAGCTGGTTTTGTGCATATTTCTGTTGCAAATTCTCAATCTTATTTGTGATTCACATATGAATCAGGAGATTTGATCTCTCTCAGAGTTATGGTGCCTTTTCAAGTGCCAAACTGATGTTTTTTATGCTCGCCTTTATTCTGTTTAAAGAGGGTTCTGTATGTTTCCTATTGTTTACGGTTGACTATTTGCTTGAGTTTTTTTAGCAAGGTTCTTGTTCGTTAGGATTTTTATGTGAAAATGGATCTTGATTGTTTTTCTCAGACATGAACTCAATATGGAAACAAGAGAGCTAAAAGTGATTTTATTGTTATAATTCAATTGTTTTGTCATCCGTTGCAGTGAGGTTGAGTGAATCACTCTATAGTGTCAAGGGTGTTGGAGATAACGGTGCACGCTTAGATGAATTGAATCGGCTTGTTGGTTTTACTGGTGCTGAAAATTTTTGCCTTCCTGTTGGTATTAATGATGCTAAGCAATTCAACAAGAGTGAAGGACTCCATCAACTATCTTCTGGAAGAAGTCCTATCAAAAGTATTGGCTCGAACCTGTCTGGCAATTCCATATATGTTGATTCAGGCATTTCAGATGAACTGCAAAGTAAGGTGAGTTGAAATTTTGGTATTAGATAGCATTGAGTTTTCTTTACTCCTAGTGTACAGGCTGACATTAGATAAATGAGTGGGACTCCATGTTTTATCTATCTTTACTCCTTCACTATGTCTTTGATCAACTCCCTGAATCATTTAATATGCTTGGTAGGTTTATGAGGCAGCTACAAGAGAAGGTGCCAAGGTCTTAGATCAATGGTTTGTTGGTTGCAGTGCAACTCATGTAGTGTGTGAAGGGGCTTCTATCCAAAAATACCTCGGCCATTCTAGTAACCTTGTTACTGTGAGTGCTGCATTGCTGATTTCACACTAGAATGAGCACTCTGTGTTCTCATTTTATTCTGAAATGCCTGTTTCTCTACGAAGTTGCTTTTTGATGCTTAAACTCTTTGGATTTTCTAAGAAGTCAGTTTTTTTTACTGTTTGCATATTCTAGTTCATATATTTTGTATGGTCTAACTGATGATGTGATCTACAACTTGAAAATCTTCTCTCTTAATATTGACTAGCACTCTACATCATCAGTTTATCTCAATTAAATTCTTTGGGTATTTAATGTATTTCAGCCACTGTGGGTTCTAAAAACCATGAAGGAGAAGCATGTGCAGAGGCTTGTTCATGTGTCTGCTGATTTGGCCAGACAAATTAGTGTGATGCTGGAGAATTTTCAGAATCGCATTACAGACCAGGTACTTCTTGATGTTGCTCAAATGCATTTAATGATGTTTTTTCATGCTTGTTAGTTCATGTTCTCCTAAATGCTTGTTTTTGTTTCCACTGTACTTGCTTCTCTAAAATTGATTTTTTTTCTAGGAAATGGACAGAAGAAATATTCCTCAAGATCCACAGTATTTGAGAAGTAAAGCAAGTCACGAAGAGAGGCTACAAATTGTGACTGTTGCTAAGAATGGGGTTAGAAATCGCCGTAGTCGTCGTATGCAGGTTAGTGGTTAATAATATTCTTGTTTTTATTGGATCTTCCCTTACATGCATGCTTGTGTTTTTCATGTTTAGCTATTCCTGCATTGCAAGTTCTTCTGTCTTTTTGTTCTCTATTCACCTTTGACTTCAGTGATAAAGAGACCAAGTTTCGCTGTATGGGTAATAGACATAAACCCAGTTAGTGAATATAATAAAACTATATTCTTCGACCACACTTATTTGACATGATATCAGCACAGTTTAAATCGCGGATGGCTGTAGTCGCGGTCGCCATCGCGGATCATGGCTTACTGTAATACTAATATAGCAGTACCGGGATACTCCGAAACCATTATAGAATGTCCGCTACATAACATAATGGTCGTTATTTAAATCTATGGATATCAGAGCCCCAATCACTAAACATCACGAGTTTGATTCCTAGCAGCCCCATCCCCCATGCTTCTAATTAAATTAAAACTTTTAACACAAAGTAGCGTGGGCCTGTGCAAGTTTTAAGCCAAAGGGTTGTCACTTGAGGGGGTGTGTTAGTGAATTGAATAGAACTATACTTTGGGATGTCATCTAAAAGCTTACGCTTTTTAGTTGAGATGGTTCTTTGACAAACACCATTGACTGGAGATGTATTTACTTGAGCATATATAGTTGGGGTCCTTTCTCAAATTTGATCAATAATCAGTTAAGCAGTCATCCTTTAAAAGGGGTATTGCAGCTATTGTCCCATGAAAATAAATCATATCCTTAAGTATTTCTGAATGAAGTGAATACTCGAAAGACCATCACAGCTATTGTCCCATGAAAATAAGTCGTATCCTTAAGTATTTTTGAATGAAGTGAATACTCGAAAGACTCAGGCCAGAGTACCAGCCATCCCTGGTGCGATGGTGAAAATCTTGGGCAGTTGACAATTGATCAGCATGCAAATGCTGAAGACTGCTTTTACAGAAATCCTATGAATATGATAAATTGCTACTAATTTTTTCACCTGAAAATGATCGTTTGTCAGTGTCTTGGTGATACTTGACTCCTTGGACTTGTGCATATTTTCCAAATGAATGACATGCTGGTGGTGATGTCTTGTATATTACTTCATGTTTTCTTTTCCCTTTAAGTGCATGGGTCTGCATGTAGGTAGGTTCATCTGGTCTTGTATTGAAAACTGCCTTGTGTCGATGTGAAACATATCTTTTTTTCTGTGGATTTTTACAGACCTGTCAAACCCCAATACGTCCAATAACCCCAAGCAGCCTTCTGGATTCGATCTGCTGGTCAATATCTGAGCCAACTTCAACTGCTTCAATTTACACAGACACTTTAAGCAGCGACGATGTTAGTGAACACCATACATCTGTATTTTTTGATGCAAAAGGGGACACCAGGGACTCAGAAGCTTCATTCACAAACTTAACCCGGACGCTTACGGAGAGGTTATTGTCTTTCTCTAGTCAAACTGGGATGCTTTCCAAAATTATCCTCTATGCTTATGAGTGTCTTACTGCATTATCTTTTCTGTGTGCCTTGCAGTGAGAAAACCGAGTTGATATTTAAGAACCACTTTCTGACTATACTTTTTCCAGTTGACCGATTTTCTGAAATGGGGCCATCTTCAAGAACGTTTTTCAGTGAAAACGGTTTTACATGTTTGGAGGTGTTAGATCATATATATGCATTTTATCAGGTAAGTTGTGAAAATATTTTTCCTCCCTTGGTTAGCATGTAACTTCCTGAGATCAAATATAAGGATATTTTGATCAACTCATATGAGCTCTTTGAATGGTAATGGCATATTGGCATTTGATGCAAATCTGGATGACTATTAGAATCAATGCTGATGTGTGTTATATTCTCTTTCAGGAGAATATGTCAGCTCAAGAAATAGAAGCTGCTATTCACACTGATTCTAGACATGCTGACCGGCTTCGATTGGTGTACTCCAGCAAAGAAACGCTGGTGCATGGTTATGTGATTTTTAAACGGATTAATTTCTTAGGGAGCCGTAAGAGTTTTGAGATGCTGAAGCGTGTTAGCGGGGATAACAACAGTAACGTATATGAGCTTTTGATTAGGGCATGATGTCATCGAATAAAGCTGGCATATACACTGCTTTATAGTCACTGGCCAATGGTGACATGTGAGCAGGCTCAATGCTGTGGGAGTTGTTCGATGTTTCCACCAGCAGTTTTACGAGAATGAAAGATAGTTTGCTACATTGCATCACACAATTACCCTCTCTTTGCATATACAGATATACTTGCATTCGGTGTGCATAAGGAACCATAGATGAGTAAAATTCCAACAATTTTTGTTGTTTTTCCTAACTACACCTTTTTATGTATACGGTCCATCTCTTCGGTGGGTGTGTTTTTGAGTTTTGACGTCATACCATGTATATTTAACACGCTGCGTAGTTGGGGTTTTTTTTATCAACTCAGAAGAACTCCCTTTACGCAATGCAAAAACCAAAAAGTCGAGTGAATTTGTTCTGTAGTACAAGTATTCAAGTCCAGTTGCTTTTTATGTATTAAATTCAAGCTGCTATTTGGCAGGAAGTGAGTTGTCAATGAAGGGTCGTTGCCCAAGTTTGCTGCAATTTTTGCGCGCCAGTCACTGTGGATTGTAAAGGTTTTATCTTCCTTGACATTAATAGAGCCACCAAAAGAATCTGCTATCAACTTTTGCTTTTGTTGCTTTACTAATTTTATTACAGATAACTTTGGATGCTACTTGCATTTCTGCTTCATGCACAAATCATGATCCAACTTCAGTACAACTAGAAACACGTGCAGCTTTGTATGATTTAGCTGGAAGACTACATCGCTCTCTTTTCGTAAAAGAGATGGGTTTTGATCCCGTGGCTTTACAAAGCTAGCGTAGTATAGACATCTCTTTTCGCAAATTTTGAACAATTTACCGTATCAATATCTTTTTGCGGTATTTGATTAGGAAATATATCAAATCTAATGCTACTCATGTTTAACTCATTTCGCAAATCTTGATACAATTAAAATTCAAAATTCGAAGTTAAAACTCATCCATGCATACCCTATATAGACATCTCTCTCCTTCCTCTTGGTTTTCCTTTTTTTTTTTTAAAAAAAAAATTCCTAGCCATCTGCAGGTTATTTTTTCTTTGTTTTCTTTTTTGTTTTGTTTATTTATTAAGTTAACAATTTAAATTTGATTTGTGCACAAAGTTCCTAGTCTGTTAAGATATTTTGTTCTTGAAATAATACTTTGATCATTATTCATCATCATTATTGTAACAAGGGTTTTGTCTAATATTTTCAATGGAAAAAGTTGTAATTTTCTTTTTAATCTTAGAATCATTATACCAAAAAAAAAAAAAATAGTGATGTATTTATTCGATTTATATCATCAATAAAATTACTATATTTTTATTAAAAAAATCCATGATTTCAATCATTTTCTTATTAATTAAAGCTCATTTTAAGTGGAACATACCAAATGGCTTTTTTTTTTTTTTTTAATTTAAAGTTATTTTTAATAAATTTGAAAAAAAGTTGCAAATTGTATGGCACAATTTTATAACTTATTAAGGAAGGATCAAATTGAAAGCCAACAAGAGTGTAAATGATAAATAGTTCGCCTTTTTCTCTATCATTAAATTTAAACAATTTAAAAAGACCTTCGGTAAGGATTAATCTTGTAAGAAATTTTGATTCAAGGTTTTTGGTTGGAAATTTTTAGTTTGTCTCTAAAATATTTGCTAATATTTTTTTAATACTGGTTTTTTTATAAAATTTTCAAAACCCAAAAATATGTAAATCAGGAAGCAGGAGCTAGGAAAGACATGGGATAAGAGAATAATTTGCAAGTTGAATTTTTTTTTTTTTTTTTTTGATATAATAGATGGATTGACGGGTGAAACCCAAACCAGAGATGCTTCCAAGAGATTACCATTGAACTAGAATCCCATGCACATAAATTAGATAATTTTACCAATTTTTGATTGCCGCATCAAATAAATAACCTTTCTGATTGCAAGGTTCATTGGGAGATACATTTTACATGAAATGAGGAATAATTCACAAGCTACTCTGATCTAAGCTTACAACAACACCTAGGGCTAGGAGTCACTCACTACTTTCCTAGTTGCTAGTTCCAAATCAAGAGGATGACAGATTATTAAACAAAAACTCACCATCATGCTTCCAAAATGAGACAGAATTGAGAATAATTATTTATACCACAGCAAGACTTTAGTTTGATTCACCAATGATGAGCTGCCCTCGGTTTCGAAGCTCATGAAGCATGACCAGAGCTGCAGAGTCATATGAGGTCTTCTTATCAGCTCTAGCCTCTCCTTCGCATTCAACGATGCCAAATGACGGTAGGTTCAAGACGATTTTTGATACATAGCTGTTAAAGCCCTTTCTTTGTTCGGGGCCTTCACCAAATTCAATTGCAGTTCTGCAGAAGAAATTAATTAGAAAAAAATGAAAAATATGCAGAAAAAATGAAGCATGGAAAACAAAATACCCTATACAATTAATAACAGTGAAAGAAAATAATTGATCTTCACATATAAAGGACAATTTGCAAGGAGAATAAAAAAAAGGAGAGCAGGACAGAGAGCTTGATGAATTGGCAAACCTGGATTTCGTTTCTGTTGTATCAAATGTAGGCATTGGCCATTGAACTTTCTTACAAAGATCATAAAGAGCAGTACGAGGTCCACCTTTCTGCATGCTAATTGACTCAATAACTGCAAATAGGTGAGTGAGTTTAGTGAGATATTCCACAACTTTTGGGGATATGCTTGAATTGGTCAGGAAGCAGCAGGCTACTCATTTAACAATGAAAAATCAAACAATATAACTGCACGCATCAACATGCTAGTATTTTTGCAAGAGCCAAGGACAATCCCCTCAGTCCCATGATAAGTGTCTTCTACACATCAGGGAACATGTTTTAATTTATTTATAAATAAATTTTAAATAAGCAAAAAATAAATTTTTTTGATCAAATAATACAGTTTCTAATATTCTTGATGTTGAGCAAAAAGTTATATTTTTTCTAATTTAAAAAATAAATTATACATATATCAAAATGTGTTCCATATCGTGTAGTGGAAACTTAATATATGACTTTGGGAGTGGTTATTACTTATTAGTTTGCCCCCCAACAAGAGGAAAGAAGAAAAGTGTCAAGATGCAATCATGTTCTTCCCATATATTAACGGAAGGACATGAAACTCTAATTCTTCATTTCATTATTGTTTCCTGCTTTCAACAAACTAAAAGGTCAGGAAGGCCGAGTCAGCCAAAAGTTAGTTGATCGTGAGACTTTCAAGGGCAGTAACATCACTGGAGCAGAAGCTGAGCTAGTAACAGTTTTAAGGAAAATCAAGACAGTGTGATGATAAGTTAGGTATTAAGCATTGGACATTATCAAAAAGGAGATGAAGTAGCACACCCTTGAGCACCAAATATAAAACAAACTGCTGCTTCTCTGAATCACATTAGAATCAAATAGGAAGCCAAATAATTTGATGATGGATACCTGGGGGGCCATGACTAGGACTGATGGCTGGGGAACGATCTCTACTTGAGTCTCCAGGCACTTGATTTTCCTTTTTCTGCCTTTTTGGCTTTGGCTTTCCAGACAAATCTTTATTCTCTAAGTCCAGGGAACTTAAATCAACAACACGGTCAGAGTCCTGTTTCCTCCTCTTTGATCCTCCACGAGAGAATATAATTCCTCTTTTCTGTTGCATTACAAGTTCAACAGCATGAGCATACAAGGGTTAAAATAGAGAATGCATAAATTTGACACACATTCAATAATGAATCAAACTACGTTTCAAAGACAGAAAAGCATGAAAGACAAACAACTATCTTGAAATTCTATAATTTCTCCATTGGTTTCTATTTACAAAAACAGTAAGAAGTAGAATGCTGCAAAAGCTTTTCATGTCCATGAGCTTTCCTGGATAAATAACATCTTTAGTTTACTCATTCTAGAAACCTCCGACGGATTTACTATCCAAACAACCACCAGAAAGATGACTAAATAAGTACAGAATGGATGTTTCAGCAGTATGACCATTGGTCCAATAAATCTTACAACAATAATAATAGTTCCTAGAAAAACAAGAACTAAAGAGACAAAACAGCTCAGGATGTTATTTCATAAGATTGCAGGACCATTCAGTAAATTTTGGTTTATTATGATCCCGTAAGTAATAAAGTCTGAAAACATATAGGCATAATTGCAGTTTTCGGAAGTAGCGCAAACCTGGAGCTTCTTCAACAAACAAGAAGCTGCTTTTCCTTTAGCTGCTTTTCTGTTCTTATCATACCCCTCGCCAGACAAGAGCTCGTTGTCCAGTTGTACCCAAAGCTGGGCGTGAAGCATCTCACCTTTCTTGGTACATTTGTCTTTTACAAAAACCCCTATAGAGTCGCATAATTCAACAAGTTCACGCAGTGGAGGTAGCTCAAGTTTTTCAGGGGTTACAATTGGAGATAATAGGGGCTTGAATATTCTCCACACGTCATCGAGGTTAAACTTAGTATCAATAAGTAATGCCCCTGCAATGCTTTCAACCAGGTCTCCAAGAGCCTGTAGGAAAGACAATGATCAGAACAAATTGTGACTAATAAATAGGACTGGAAAACAGCAAACCAAACTAGTTTAGATTTGTAAAAAGCACCATAATCAGAGCATCAAATGGCTAGCTGCTGCTAACCTTTGAAGATAGCAATATAATTAATGAAAACAGCACAGCTCTAAAATAAAGAAAATAAGTGATTAGTGGGTCAGTGTAGGAACTTACCTTGGGAGCCTTTGTCCCTTGATCAGATTCATGAAAAGAATTTACATATTCTGTTATTTGACTTTGAAGGAATGTAGAACAATGAAGAAGATGGCTATATAGGTTTTGTTTCACAGCAACTTGAGCAAAATTATCGTTGTTGACAGAAGCTGAGCGCAAGTCAGTCAACTCGCCAGGATCAACATCTGTGTGGTTCTGATAGAGATGCCATGTTATAAGCAAGTCCAATACAGAATCACCAAGAAATTCAAGCCTCTGTTGAAAATTCAAACGAAATGGATCAAACAGAAGACTCGCTAAGATTATTGTAAAAAGTTACAAGAAATAAAGAATCTTATGCACTTAAATTTCTACTCATCAAATACATCTAGTAAGTAAAAAAACTTTATTTTCTGTATTTGAAAAATATCGAGACCTTTCATGTATGTTGCACAAATCTGTTAAAATATCATTTTTGAAATTTTATTTTATTTTTATATATATTTTTGCAAATTGGTTTCGCTGCTGAGCCACCAGAAAACAAGAAAAATATCCTTCAATAAAAAAGTTTCAATTAAACTAACCACCTAAAGTATGTTGAAATTACAGGCACCACCCTAAAGTTTCAAAATTTCACCAAATCACCTCCATTTTTGAGAAACTATTACATAAACCTCATTTTATACCCAAAATACTCTTCGTGGGTTTAAAATAATCCCCTTTGACAGCAAGGACTAGTATTAATTTCTTAAACATGGAGGGAATTTGTCAAATCTTCAAGCTTTTAGATGGTATTCACAATTTCATGGGTTATTATAGTTTACCCTAAAAAAAATTAAAGGAAAGAAAAGAAGACCGAGTTGATTAAAATTTCATTACCTGGTAACAGTAGGTAACACCCTGTTCTTGCACAGATGCATGAGTCATGGCCTCCTGCAAGAGAAACTTGACACCAAATACATACCCAAGCTTTGACTCTAAACTCTTAATGTCATCTTCTTTGGGGATATAAGATCGTAGAGATGCACTCGTAATGGCTTCAATTATCAGTGAAAGATCAAGTTCAGCATTAATTCCAAACCACTTCATCACATGAAGTGCAGCAATCAATCCGCCACTGACATAGTATGCTCCTATGACAGATTCAACACAATCTGATATGGTTTTGGAACCCATCCACCGGTGGCCTGAATCACAGGATTTTCCAACCTTAATAGCTGTGCTTTCAGTTTGGAACTTAGGATCCAATGGCACTTCTAAAGTATCAACCCCACATTCACAAGGAACAGGAGGACGTACAGATTTCTGTCCAGGAGCAGTCCAACGACGGGGATCAAATGGACTGTCTAGTATATATCCCTACCATATGAGAAATGCAGAACCGTTAAGTTTCAGAGACCTATTGCAAAGTTCACGAGTCACTTTAAACTGGTATATATTTAAAATATAAACTTTGGCATAGTATAAAATTTGTGGAATATTGTTCAGTTCAAATCAATCCCTGTGGCTGAACTATGGATTCCGGTAAAATAGGATTGCAGAGAAGGACACGGAGATCAGAATATACACGTGCACATATAGAAGTAGAAGGTCTAGTATTTGGACTTGTTCAGATTCGTATATCACAACACATTCATTTCACAGAAATACACATGCAAAACATTTGATTTTCATTCAGAGGCGTTATATCATCTATAAGACACATGGAAAGATACTAGCATTTCAAATTTGCAAAAATGGAACAAAGAATGCAGGTATGTAACAGTTTGTAGGTATCCCACCAAATCTTAAGGGCATTGAGATAGGATAACTATAATCATAACAATGTGACACTTCAATTCAAGTCTCGAAACAATCAGGGAGAGCATACTTCAATGGACAGAGAAACGATAACGATTTCAATCCTAAAAAAAATAATAATAAAACCCATTGGTTCAACAGTAAAATCTTTGGGACTTCATTTCTTCAAATGCAGAAGATCAGGAAAGTTAAAAAACAATACTGAACAAAAAACAATAAAAACACAAGTGCACAAGAATGCACAAATTTTTTGGGAAAATAATATTTCTCAATGATAGAACTAGAAGCAATAAATATCATAATCAAATACCTGTAATTTACGATCTGTTCCCAATTTATGTAGGGTTGAATTACAAACAGCCCCTGAGCGCCATGAAGATAATTGGCCTTCATGTTTATTGGGATATTTTAGATAGAGGTGGCAGCTGACAGCATACTTTAAAACTGAATCCCCTAGCAACTCCAGTCGCTCCATCGAAAAACTTTCACAACATCTAAGTGTAGTAATTGCTTCCAGAATCTAATGATTAAAGCATGTGAGTACATTAACTTAAAGGTAAATAAATTATTTAAATACAGCCAAATGAAGGGCAATTTAATGGGACAAACCAATGAGCTTGAGATGTGAAAATTAGGAGCATGACAATCAATCTCTTGTCTAAGTTGACTGGCCAACATCAGGCACTCAAGACGGTGCATCAAAGATGGCATCAGATAAATTGATTTTACAACACTGATAGGAACATCAACCTTGATCAAAAGCTCTGGTGGCATATGCACATGTTGCTGCTGTCTTCCAACAACTGTGCCGTCTTTTGAATCACCTGATCATTGAAGAGAACATGTAATAAATCAGATAACAGAACAGGGAACAGATTGCTAAATCCAACTGCATAGTCAGAAGATAATTTAGGAGCTTGTGACGTCAACTGCAATAGCTTCTATAATTGAGAGAAGTTGAAGTGTATTGGTGAATTTCTCTGATTTTTTTTTATCTGCCTTGCACTTTGTTAAAGATCTTAGCATAAGATAAACTTTGAGATATTAGAATTGAAGTGTCAGATAATCAGACTGAGACCGACTAGCTCAACAGAAAAGATTTCTATCTCATAACAGATCTCGAACACACAAATTAACGAACCTTCATCATTAAAGTTTACAAGATGATTGTGTGGGTTATGGCTTTGCTTTAACCGAAACAGAGGCTGTGCTGGATGCATCAGCACAATTCCATACCTGAGCAGAGCTGGTGTTAAGTATGGAAACTGTAAACAGTAACAAGGAGAAATATTCAATGAACATAAAACCCTCAGCTGGGCCCACCTACCTTTTGCTGAAGTACTCTGCATATGTCGAAAACCCTGTCACATCATCAGCATTTCCCTCAAAAGCACTCTCTGCAGATGAATCACTAGCAACTTCAACGATGGAGTAGATTCTTCCTGTGTGGATTGCCAATACCAACGTATTTTTTAGGTTCGCTACATTGACAAAAGCATCAGCAAAATGGATCATATTTGCACCATTGCATTCTACAGTAGATGACTCAACATTATCAGGTAATTGATTTCCTCCACCACCAATAGTCTGAGCACCCAAGAAAATATTCAAGTATTGTACCACAGATGAGCAAGCTTCAATTCCTTTCCAATCTATTTTCCAACTTTCATTGCTGGAAATGCTCAATGGCTCTAGTGGTAGAAGTAGATACATGTTTGAGGGACTCCAGAGTGATGCTGTTTCTTTCTGAAGTAAGAACTCCCTAGATGATTTAGATCCAGTAAACAACCTTCCAAACAAGCCATTGAAAAAAAATTCTTGAAACTGCTTTGCCCTCGACATCTAATTAAATAAAAAATACAGCATTCAGGAAATAACCATACCAAGATAAAAAGAATTATTGCTGAGATGATGAGCACAAAACATGTTAATACCTGTGCAGCATCCAAATGCACTTCTCCACATGAAGAAATAGAAGACTTGACTATCTTTGCGACCAAATAAAGATCCAACTCAATGTTTCCCACATCGTCATCAAGCTTTGACTCAATCAGAAGAATAAATCCAGAATAGATCTCACTGACAATAGAGCAAGAGAAGTCAAACTTATATGCATGAAAAGTGGCTCCATCAAGTTTTTCTCCCCAACATCCGGATAATGCATGAATGCAAGTTGTCCCATGCAATTCCTTCCTTTTCGTAGTTCCTTGAATAGGCCAGAGTGGAACAGAGAGAAAACAATAAGTTAATACAAACAACAAGGAATGAACCACCGCTACACTTTCCAGGTTGATATAGAAAACCCAAACATTTTCATGCAAAAGCATTCATATAAAACTATTAGTGTATCTGCCCATCAAGGGTTTGCCAACTTTGCAAAATTGAAGCAAATGCATTAAGATGTTTGTCCTTGCATGGACAAGGGAACCATACTTTATGTCTTGACAAACTTTTTGTTTTTCTTCTTCATTATTGCTTCAGAGCATTCCAAATGATCATATTGGGCACATGCAGCAGAGTGGTTCTACAGTGTTGGTCACCTGATACCAACAAAGCAGAGTAGTTGGCAACTACTGGAGAAGGGGTGTTTTCTGGGTTTACCTAATAAGTAGGCTAATTTAGTCAAATCATACGGCCACTCTATGATTTTTCATAGTTTCTTTGCTATGAGTAAACGAAGAGATGAGATAATCCAATTTAATTGATCTCTAATTTTTCATAGCATTCTTCACTCTATTACATTCTTAGAAAACCCAACAGGTTCAACTCTTACTACTGACCCAGAAAGAAAGAATGGTGCAGCTTAGCCAATAAGCTAATAGAATTTCACATAGCAATATTCAATATGAATTTTATTCTAACACTCTTATACCTGCACCGGCAGATGTTGATTTGTTTCCTTCAGCAACGCCGATTTCTGAAGGCTCTTCAACTGATGGCAGAAGATGATCATCCAAAGCACCCATTTGATGCAGCTTCTTGCATGCTTCCAAGCATACAAGCTGCTTTGCTAATTGTTGATTCCTGCATGTTGGACCAACTAATGTTTGAAACACTGCATTAGTAGGTAGGTTCATTGTACAGCGGCAAGACCGTTCCAAAACTTCGAACTGAAAAGTCGGCTTTGGTGTGTAGTACCTAAATTACATGGAAGCCAATTAGAAGAAATTGACTGCTTCTATACCCAATACTTAGCAATAAAAAAAAGATCTTTTTGACTGGGAAATATTTACATACCTGTCGCCAGGGAGTTGTTGACAATACCGATGTATAAGGCTAACACTAGAGTCTGCTGTAACTGATGCTCCAGTCACATCTACGACATATGCCTTTGTTGCTTCTGAAGCACATGCTTTCAGAGTCCATATATCAGGATCTCTATTTATAGCCGTATCTGTCATTGACCACTCACTTCTAATGATATCAAATAACTGATCCCTTTGTTTCGTGTTTCCCCTGCAAGTGTATACACAGTTATACAATGTTTACTGATACCAAATACATGAAACCAATCATTTGCCAAGCATGTTTAAGACACGAGAGTTTAACTAGGGAATCTAGCGCATAATCTACAGGATTGAAATATCAAGCACACATACAAACAAACAAGAAGACCCTGCTGCATTTGCTATGCTACAGCTGCTTTTGGTGCCAAAAAGCATATCAAAGATGCTTCACAACAAAAACAGTAGGACTACAGTCTAAAAAGATGAAGAGGCATCACCTTTCAAGCATAGTGATAAAGTGGGAACCATTTTGTCGAGCTCGTCCTCGAGATTGGACATAACTGCGGACTGTCTTAGGCAGATTAAAACGTATTACACAGGAGCAGTTTGGCACATGAATTCCCTCCTCCACCACATCAGTGGAAAATAATAGATTGATCTGCATAAAAGTTACTCGTTTGTTATCATGTTTACACAACTTGCGATCAATTCATAATATTGAAGAGCATTTACCTTTCCGGAGCGAAATGATTCCAAGGTCTCCATTTGCATTTTTGGGGCCAGTGCATCAGCTGATGCATTAGTTCCAGTCAAATATGAAACAGTGAAATGTGCTAAAAGCTCAACTTTGTTCAGAAATCTTTCAACTACTTTAGCTGTAATAATTCTTTCAACAAAAATTAGGCACAATACTTGCCTATATTCTCTGCAACCACAAAAAGGAAAGCAAATCAACTTGACTACAAAAATAAAATAAAAGGATAAGCAAATATTTCTATTACCCAAATGATAGAAAAAGTTGGAGAAGTTCATGTAGTTTGGGAGATATGTAGCCAAAACCCAATGCTGCTGAACTGTCAAATCCACGATCCAAAAGGAAATTATCACCTGAGGTAAGAGAAGGAATAATGTCAGTGATAGACATCATAATCAATGTGCAGTCAAAATAGTGCGGATTTTAGATGATACTGTTGTCTCCAGAAAGGCAATATGGCAACTAAAGACATCAGGCAGACAAAATATTCACTGGCACCATCCTGCAGAAAGGCAGTATCTCTATGCATTATGAATGAATTGCTATCTCATGCACAAGAAAATGTAACGTAACAAATGCCAGTGGCACCATCTGCCTCTTGACGCATCATGGTAGGAAGTTGATACATCATGACAACTGACTACTCCAGTAGTTAAAGCTCAAGTATTTTTAAAATTTTCCAATCAGTCACCCAATCAAACCAATCCTCCTCCAAGCTGTCTCATTGCCGTGAACCCAAACAAAGCCAGAAAATGCACGTGTTTTACAGATTTCAAATACTCCAGATAGTTTCACAAGAAAATGGCAGCAATGGAATCTCATTATAGGATTAACCGTGAGAAACCTTAATGTAAAACAAGAACAAAAAGAACACTTTTCAGGAGATGCATAGTTTTTTTTTTTTACTCCAGCAAGGAAGGCAACGGTGCCAACATCAAAATATTGAATAATGCTAAAAAAGGTAAGCAAACAATGTTGACAGCTGCAACTGATTTATTGACAACCATGTATACAAATACAGGAAAAAGGAACAAAAGACGTTTCCATTAGATTGGAGCACATCTCATTTACCGAAAGTATGCAATTAGCAGAAGAATGATAAAATGTTTTACACCTTTTGGGAAACAGAAAATATAAGATGTGCTATTAGCATACCATGCGGCAAAGATTCACCAATTATATGTAACACATCCTCAAGGAAATGTCTACACTGCAAAGAAATGTCTCGATATACTCCGCATTCATCAGTGGGATTAGGAGCATTCTCTAGACAAACCTTGACAGCCTACATGGAAGAAAAGTGGAAATGATAAACTGCAATAACAAGGGAATATAATTACAAAATATAAATCCTTGTTCCATGTATATTTATAGAAGTCTTTTGAGAGCAATTACCAACACCTGAAGATCATTCATTTCATAGGATGAGTTACATATCTTAAGCTTTTTCTCTCTTTCCACTAACAATTTACCCTCACAATTTATTAACACACCAACATGTTTAAAAATCAAAGTTTACACCCTTAACAATTACTCTTGGAATAATTACTCCTAAAACAATTCAACTTAATTTTCTAAACCATTTACCAAATGCACTAAAGAAAAACAAAGAAAATGCAGTATTCTCTGTGTCCTAAAGCGTCTTCCTTGATTATAGAAGCATTAACAATGGCTCTAAATATCGTGCTACCTCAATTATTCTATATCTACTCAACAACTTCCTAATCTAAGTATGCTTTTAAAAAGTTGGGCAAATCGAAATCAATTTTGACTGGGTAAAATAGAACAAAAAATGAATTTCTTTTGAGCTTCAAATAATGGAAACATTTTGGGACAAATAAAATGAAAGAACACTATGTGGGATGGAGGGAGTAGTATTTATGTTAGAGAATAATATAAATCATATCCCGAGGCCTTTCCCGCTTATACTTTTGGGTGAGATGGTCTTTTGACATGGTATCGTAGCCTTGATGACCAAACAAGTCGCGAGTTCGAATCCTACCAACCTCACTTTCTTTTGTAATTAATTAAGCATAAGTTAGTGTGGACTCGTGCAAGTTTCAAGCACAAAGGGCTTTCACTTGAGGGGGTGTGTTAGAGAATAATATGAATCATATACTAGGGTCTTACCTAACGAGTTTAAGCTTTTGGATGAGATGATCTTTTGACAATTTATGAGCACATTTAATGAAAATCATGAGTATATAGCTATAGCTTGCATTTCATAAAAAAAAAAAGAAAACAAGAGTGACAGCAGAAGAACATATAGTGTTACATTTCAGCATTAAATCCACTTTCTCCTAGGTTTTTAATTATTGTGAGTGTGATATACCTCATACGCACATACAAGGCCAAGATCTTCAAGGCAATTCAAAATCTTCGCATGGTCCTTGGATAACTGCTTTCTCATTGTTTTAAGCTTGTCATCCATATCTTTGTAACCACTTTTTGTTGAGCCTTGCAAATCTAACATTGAAGCATCAAACTATCCATTCAAAACAAAAACATTTCAGTATCAACACAGATAAACCACTCATTTCACAGATCTAAAGGCTAGAAATTTCTTTGTATATGCCAACTCAACCACATACATAGATATGTGTGCATGAGACAAGAATACCTTGGACCATGAAGCTTTAATCTTATCTTTAAGCTCCACATAAGAACACTGTGCTTTGTCATAAAATCTACACATTTCTTTTGCAGAGGGAACATAGACATCCATCTCTGCCCTGTCTTCAATAGTAAAAATCTGTAGCAAAACATAATGACGGAGAAGCGAAAAAAGAAACACACAAAGGGAGAGAGGGAGGGGAATTGAAATGAAAGGATGGGAACGACCAAGAAGAAGGATAGCATAGAAGTTAAACATTATAATCAATTCTAGTACTTCTTATTTGCCAAAACGGCTGCATCCCAAAACAATAGGGATGAGCTTCTTATATAAGCAGTAAACCCTTAAAAGTATACACAAATTAGGAAACAAAATAAGAAACTTAAATATCCCCTGACAAAAATGAAATAAAACAAACTAATGCAAGTCTATCTTGGTTGTGCTTTGCTGGCTTGGCATCACGTGTTAGATATGAGGTATAAGGATTAAGTTTGACCCTGTGACCATTTTAGGCAAAATTTAATGTCTAAAAGTACCTGGGAATCCAATACACTTTCAAGTACTGCTAGTTGATCCTCACAGTCTGTGGCAGATGAGACACCTAATGAAAAAATTATATCAGAAACGCATGCAATAAGTTTATGATTGGACTAGATCTAGAAACAAAAAATTAATAATAAGCATGCAGCATATGAACAAACACGAACAAAAAAGGTCTTCTTACAGATGAACATGATAAGAGGAAGAAGTTTTGCAAATAACGATCAGCTACCAACAGTACAGATTTAAATATGTACAAAATATTCTCTTCATGGGTATTGACTTCATTTGTAATTCAGCTAATTTGTAAACTACACATCAGTCTCCAGTTAACACACCTATAAAACCACACTTCTAATTAAGCACGGCTCTCTTAAACCGTGAACAAAGAGTTCAACCCTGCTGTCCAAAGCTCAAAAAGGAAGAAGAACTTATTGAAAGGAAGGGTGTTTCACATCAACATCATCCCTATGAACAAACTAAATGGCTCTGCTAATTGCATTTCAGCCAACAAGTGTGGTACCTTTCATGTCAAAAACTCATTCCTTGCCATGGAAAAATAAAAGAAATATATGCAAAATCAACAGCCATCAAGGCATAGCAGAGAAAGAAAGGAAGGTTTGAGTTGCAAACTGATCACTGATGGTGCCATCCTGTCCTGGTGATGCTTTAAAGTATTAAGTGCCGAATGAAAAGGGTGAGGAACAAATAAGGTGGTAAGAATGTCACAAAAAATATTAAATATATTTTATGCACTCAACCAATTATTAAATTTCCACTTAGCCCACCATACTGCCACAACAAGTTCTCTTACCTTTTCTAACTACAGGTGACGCCGTCATTCCAAAAACCTTCGGTTTGTTTTCCATTTTGTGATAGAAATCCTTCACCAAACAAACATAACTTTCAACAATATTTTTACTTACGAAGAGGAAATGTGACTATAGAAACAATGAAACAAAGAAAACAACAAAATTTATAGCAAGGAATAGTATATTAACCTTCATAATTTTCGAATAAGGATGGTTACCGGTGCAACGATGACACTCGTCAAGTATTACCAAGGATACCATTTCTAGATTCAAAAACGCCTTTCTTAAGGCATCCAAGAGAATCTGAGGTGTCATAACCAATACCTACAAAGTAAAAAGAAAGGATATTCGTTAATGTAATTCTACCAGCAGCAAAATGAGATTATCGCATATTTGAACACAGAAGAATCCCAAAGAATATTGTCTCGTCCATAAGCAAACCCACCTATGTTCCTTCAATACTGGTAGTTTAACCGCTAACCATATAAAAATAAGAATGAAATCCAAAGCACAATCAACTTATGCAGAAACGAAAACTCAATCAAGGAAAAAATCACAGGACTAAAGAGGTCACAGCATAACTGACATTAGCTAAATGAGAAATATTTATTTCGGCTTGGTTTTATTAAATGCATGAAGTGCATAAACCAAACCCATTAAAAGAAGTAGCTCAAAACGGAAATTGTTAGAATAAACATAATATATGGAAACAGAGATATTCAATCTAAAGAGAATTCTACTCGAGTTAAGAACCAAACTCACATCATGTTCATCAATTTCCTTCTCCCAAGTCGTCAGAGACCACTCATCTATTCCCTTAGATCCATAGTACTCCCCCACTCTAAAACTTGTTTGAGATTTAATGACTTCATATTGCTGCAAGCACAAAACCCGCTAAGTTTCAACATACGAACCAACAAAGTAGCCACATTGTATATACAGACAGCAAGAAAGGGAAAACAACTATAAACAACAGTGAGAAAACCCCCTTTATTTAAATTGAGAAAAACATCCATTAGCTCAATAACATTTACAGAGAATTCACTAATTAAGGACAGAAAAGAGAGAGATTTACTATTAAAAAGAACATGCCTGATTAACAAGATGAACAGTTGGGGCTAAGAAAAGAATCAATCTTTTAACCCCACTGGAAAAGACAGCTTGACCAATTTGTTTAATTAACATAACAGAAATCATTGTCTTTCCAGCTCCTGTTTCCAGCACTGCAATTGTATTTCTCTTGACAGCCACCTCAAAAACCTTCGATTGATACCTACACTCACCAAAACAAACATAAACATGAACATGCATGCATCAACAACACCACATTCTAACAAAAACCCATGAAGTTTGTGTTCAAGAAAATCCGAGCAATAACATAAAAAATCAAACTTTCGAAAAAAAAAAAAAAGGGAACGATGACAAACCTTCTTGGATGGAATTTCTCAGGACTACAAAGAACAGAAGCTAGTTCTTGTGGGGTAGTGTCATTATGATCATCAACGCCATTGGAATAATTCATCTCAAGAGAGCTTGAAGAGCTGCTGTTATTATTGATCATGTCAGCAAAGCTTCTCTTGAGAGGATTATGGTCTGGCATTGGAGTATCCATAAATTCACAACTGCCGGTAGTACAATTAATTAAGTGTGATACTTAATAAACAAAAATAAATAAGGGTGGTGTGCAATTATCGTGATCAAAGAATAGGACAGCAATCTGGTTTAATGGAGAAATCATGAAAAGAGAAGAGAGCAGCAATAACTAAAAACACAAGAAACGTGAAATCCCTAATGAAGAAAGAAGGGAAGCCAGAAAGAGAAAGGAATGGAACTTTTGGGTTGGCCAGTTTGGTAATACTTCAAGAATTTTGAGTTTTTTTCCTTTTATTATTGTATTTTATTTAAAAAAGAGAGAGAGAGAGAGTAGACATGAAATCGTGAAAGCACTGAACTTCTTTTTCTCTACTAAAAAATACTAATGTACTTTGCCGGTCTCTGTCCGTGTGAGAGTGAAGGAGATAAATAAATAAAAAGTCAAATCAAAATATAAACGAAAATTGAGGGAGGTTTTTCTATAGGGTTAGGAATGTCTTTTCAACGTTTGTTGGTGGATGTTTTATTGGCCTTAGGGAACCGAAAAAGGGTTGGACTCCGAGTCGAAAGATAACAGCGTACTTGTCACGGAATTGGCCTTTCTCAAGCTCACGTGCGGCACTTGGCTCTCTTCTTCTCTAAGACAAACCAAGTCAGCCTTCCTCACATAAAGTTCCTAAGCAAGAAAGACACACACAAGAGATATAAATACTCTTTGTATTGCTTTCTAAAAGCTTACAACTCTAAAGACACGCTTTCTTAAGTTTATGAATGTCTAGGTATCTCGACCAAGTGAGGGCCTCACCTATTTATAGCCTTCCACCTCCTCAATGGATGGCTAGGATCTATTTAATCTAATGGTTACAATTGGTTCTCTAGAAATATCCTATCTAGATATTTACAAGGAACTATCTAGATATACACATGCTTAGATTAGTGAGGGACTCTCTAGAATTCTTTAGATCATCTTGGAGACTTCTCCAATGCTCCATATTCTTCTGAAGCTTCCAGCCTTATCTAGAGGCTTCTTCTTTGCTCCATACTCTTCTGAAGCTTCCGGACTTATCTGAGGCTTCTCCATTGTTTCATACTCTTCTGAAGCTTCAGACTTATCTAGTGTTCTTTAGAATCTCTAGAAAAATCTCTCTTTTAGGCGAAGCGTAACACTCTCCCCCACCTAATTCGGCGACGTCCTCGGCACGTCTTCATTATACTCTTCGACCTTCCGTGCGAATCGCCACGAGGCTTCGGCGGGTTCCCAACTAGCCTCGCTATCGGGTAATCCCTTCCATTTTACGTAGTACTCCTTCCTCGGGGCACTCCACGACGTCTAACTATGCGGTCATCAAGTATGACATCAACTTCTTTGTCATACGAGTCAACCACTGCTCGTAGGCGCCCTATAAGAAACTCCTCGGCTTGGATCCTCCTCGTCCGCATGGTATGGTTTTAGCATACTAACATGGAATACCGGATGGATCTTCGACTTCGGTGGCAACTCTAGGCGATAGGACACCTCTCCCACCTTGCGCACTACCTCAAATGGTCCTTCATATCGTCGTATGAGGCCTTTGTGCACCTTTCGAAATGCTTTATGTTCGTTGTGGTAGCAACTTCAACATCACCTTGTCACCGGGTTGGAAGGTGACATCTCTTCGTCTCTTATCGACCCACTTCTTCATCTTCGTGGCACCTTGTTTAAATACATTCGGGTCAAGTCCGCTCGCTCCCGCCATTCTTTGGCTAACAAATATGCATTTGGTCGCTTCCTTGGTACTTGTCACCAAGCACCATCGTATGTGGAGTGAGTGGTTGCTGGCCCGTCACAATCTCAAATGGACTCTCGCCGGTGGACTCATTCTTTTGCAAGTTATAGGAGAATTGGGCAACATCTAAGCAACTTAGCCCAATCTCGCCGGTCTGGCACTCACAAAGTGCCTCAAGTATGTCTCCAGCAAGGCGTTAACCCTCTCGGTCCGCCCATCCGTTCGAGGGTGAAAACTTATGGAGTAATGGAGCTTCGAGTCTAGCAACTCAAATAACTCCGTCCATAGCTTCCCGATGAATCGAGGATCTCGATCACCGATTATATGTCGCGGCACACCCTAATACTTCACCACATATTTGAAGAGTAGCTTAGCGGTGTTCTCAGCCGTCACATCCGCCGGGGATGGTATGAAAGTGGCATACTTGGAGAACTTATCCATGATTACGATAATGCTCCCAAAGTTCTCCGATTTCGACAAAGCCACTATGTAGTCCATGGTGATTGTCTCCCATGGTCTCTCCGCGATAAGCAAAGGTTGCAATAGACCTCCGGACGCTCGATTTTCAACTTTATCTTGCTGGCACACCGAACATGTTCTCACATAGGACTCCACATCATCACGCAACCGTGGCCAAAAGTATGCTCCCTCCAAGCAAGGCTCTAGTGCGTTGTTGTCCTGGATGTCCAGCCCACATCGAGTCATGGCATTCCTTCATCAAATCTCGTCGGAGGTTTCCCCACTTAGGTACATAAATCCTCTTCCCTTTTGTGTAGAGAATGCCATCCTCCTTCGAAATTTTCGAGTTTTGCCCTCCTTTGCAAGGCTCAACAAACTCTTGGCGATGGGATCATGCTCCACTCCTTCCTTGATTCCGGCCATGATCTCCCCATCCACCTTCGTCATGTGATGCAACTCGGCATTTCTACTAAGTGCATCGGCCACCACATTAGTCTTGTCCGGCTTGTACTCAAAGATAAAATCAAATTCGGTAAGAAAATCTTGCCATCAAACTTGCTTCGACGTCAACTTCTTTTGAGTTTGAAAGTAGCTTATGGCTACGTTGTCCATCTTCACCACAGATCGGGACCCTAGCAAGTAGTATCTCCAAGTGCACAAGCAATGCACCACTCGCGGTCATCTCCTTCTCTTGCACCGAATATCGTCGTTTGGTGTCATTTAGCTTTCGGCTCTCGTAAGCTATAGGATGTTGTTCCCGCATCAACACACCACCTATAGCAAAATCGAAGCATCGGTGTGTATTTCATAAGGCTTGGTTGGGTCGGCCTAGCTCAACACCGGCTCCTCGATGACGACTTGCTTTAACTCTTCGAAAGCCTTTTGGCATTGGTCACTCCACTCCCATCTTTTGTTTTTCTTCAACAAGTCGGTGAGAGGGGCCGCCTTCTTCGAGTAGTCACGGATGAAGCGTTGATAGTAATTGACTAATCCAAGAAAAAGCGAAGCTTAGGTACCTTGGTTGGCTCTTCCCATTCCGAGATAGCTTTGACTTTGGCTTCATCCATCATCAACCTTCCCCCTTAATCTTATGTCCTAGGAAGAGTACTTCCTCTTTTACAAAGGAGCACTTCTCCCTTTTGACATACAACTCATTTTCCCTTAGTACCTTGAATACGATACGTAGGTGGTCTAGATGCTCCTCCAATGTAGGGCTATAAACCACGATATCATCAAGATATACCACTACAAACCGATCCAAGTATGGTTGAAATACCTTATTCATTAAGGTGCGAAGGTAGCCGTGGCGTTAGTCAAGCCAAATGGCATAACAAGGAATTCATAGGAACTATACCTCGTCATACATGCTCGTCTTTGGCACATCTTCGATGAGCAATTCGAACTTGATAATACTCCGATCTCAAATCAAGCTTAGTGTAGAATCGAGCTTTTCCCAACCGATCAAACAAGTCCGCTATCAATGAGATTGGATACTTGTTTTTCACCATGACCTTGTTTAATGTCCGATAGTCCATGCACATTCTCAACGACCCATCGTGCTTCTTTTGGAACAACACGGGCGAGTCATAAGGTGACTTGAAGGGTTGTATTTGTCCAGCCTCCAACATGGCCTTCAACTCGCTTCCTTAATTCCTCCAACTCGGGCCGGGCCATTCGATAAGGTGTCATGGTCGGCGGTTTGGCACCCGACACCAATTCTATTTGGTGATCGATTTCTCTTTTAGGTGGTAACTTTTTGGGTAACTCTAGTGGCATCACATCATCAAATTCGGCCAATACATTGGCAATCTCCTTAGGTATCTCCGTGCTCTCATCTTCCACCATCCCATCTTCTCTTAAAGTTACCAAGTATGTGACTTCCCCTCTCTTGAAGCATTTCTTTACTTGCATAGCCGATAGATGCTTCAAGTCCGATCTAGCATGCACCTTGGTCGGCACCATGCATGGCATTTCTTCTTTCATGATCACTATTTGCTCCAAGTGAGGTGTAGGTACTACTTTCGCTTGTTTAAAGAACTTTATGCCTAAGCACAACCTTGAAGTCATCCATTATGATAATGGTGAAATCTATCATCCCTTTCCATGTGCCTATGCCAAGCTTTACCCCATACGCTACGCCATAAGTAGGCTTAGGAGAAGCATTCACGGTCTTCATGCTACTTGATGACTTGGTCACCACCAAGCCAAGTCTTTTGGCCTCCTCATCGGCTATGAAATTATGTGTGGCTCCCATGTCTAGCATGGCAAGCGCGGCCTTACCATTCACGTCCACCTCCACGTACATAAGCCCATCCTTTAGTGGCACCTTAGGTGAGGGCTTGACATTCAAGGTATTGAGAAGCCGCAACGATCCCATATGCTTCTCGGGCTCGGAGGCACATTCCCTCTCCTCCATCAAGGCATTGAGGGCTTGTCGCTTCGGGCACTCTCTCCACTCGATGTGGCCCATTGCAAAAGTAACAACCTTTGGGCTTGAATTCTCTCTTATCATGTTCTTTGACAAAGCTCTTGGACTCGATGTGCTTTGTCTTGCCCATCTCTATACCCCTTCCTTTCATAGGCTCCCCCACCTTTGCCCTCGAAGTCTTTCTTAGGCTTGGAGGGTTCCGCCTTTTGTTATATTCAATTAGGGATTCAGCTATGGCCACGGCTTTGGCGAAGGTCTTAGGTCGTCGACCTCGCACCTCTTGTTGTGCCCATGATTGAAGTCCCTTAATAAAATCATACATATGATCATAGTCGGGTTTGCCACGTACTTGAA